AGTATTGGTATTTTAATGTGATTGTTTGCTTGTTGGTATAACGCAATTTAGTTCATTCTACAATATTATATTTGGCAATTATATTTTTTAAACCTTTATTATTTCTATTTGCATGTTTGTTGTGAAATGTTTTTTAATAATATATAATATATATGTGAATGAATGAACCGAACGAACGAAAAATTGGTTTTTATTACAATAATTTTAGTGATCTTTATATTTACTCTTATTTACTTCTAGAGAAAACGAAGTGATTAATGGGTCTTTAGGGACGCAAGGTCCCACGGTCGATGTTCTGGAAGATGTAAATGTTCTTTGGCCATATGTTCTTGTTTGAGAAGACGAGTTGGCAAGTAGCGAGTGAGATGACCAGTAAGGAAATAAGGTATACTCAGAACAAGTGCTTTAAACATAAGTAGAAGTATTTTAAAGATAATGCGCAGTTTGATGGGAAGCCAGTGAAGATTGTGAAGTACAAGGGTAATATGGGAACATTTTGGAGTTGAAGAGCACATACGGGCAGTATGATTTTGAATCATTTGAAGGCATTTGATAGAAGAAGCTGGAAGATTGAACAAATGAGAATTACAATAATCAAGCCTGAACATTTCCGATTAAGGTATCTACGTATTCGGCAAATGTTGCGGATGTTAAAATTGGCAGTCTTGCATACAGAGCTAATATTTTCTTTGAAAGTTAAGTGCTAATCAGAGACAACACCAAGATTTTGAACAGATGAAGATTTAATTATTGTGGAGCCAATTTTTAAAGAAGGAAATTCAGGTTTTGGGACAAGAAACTTTGAGAAGAAAACAGTGAATTCAGTCTTGTTAGCATTTAACTTTAACATGTTGCTAGTCATCCAGGTTTGGATTTCCCAAATTCATTTTTCAAGTTCATAGAAAATATGAGTAAAGTGAGACAAAGAATTGAATGGGATAAAAATCTGAATGTCATCAGCATACATTTGAAACTGAATTTCAGAAGAGTGCAAGATGTTGGCAATGGGTGAGGTACACAAAGAATACAAGTGTGGGCTAAGGACGGATCCTTAGGGAACACCGCAGCGTAAAAGCTTAAGGGTTGAATTGGTACCTTGGACACAAACAAAAACAAAAACCCAGCATCATTCAATTTAAAATTAAATCTTGAAAATTTAATATTAAAACTTCACATCAGTTTTACTATTAATCAACTTTAACGCACAGAGACCATGTACTTTTCGCTATATAAGTCTCCAACCATTACCATTACCATTACCATAAATCAATTAATTTTTTCAAAATATCAATAATTCAAGAGACATACCACAAATCAACTAGAACAATGAAAAAAAATTAAAGAATTATTCAGTTTAATATTAATTCTTCAATCCGCACCCACCCAATAAAAATCCTGTTTACGGGTCTGCTCTGTCATTCAATATTCGTGCCCTAATGAGGGCATGACGTTCCTCTACAACAGACAATACGTTGTCTGTCGATTGACTAACATAGTTTCGCATGACAGTCGAGTCACGGTGGTTCAAGGGTATGGCCATGATAGGTACTGCCATTACTTGGTGCCATATGTGAGACTTCAGTAATAGTGAGCCGATGCTCACTGTTCACGGCAAAGGCGTGCGGCTGACAATGAGTCCGAGGTGCTATCCTTCACTATACGGGTTTCTAGAAAACGGAGACCTCGAAAACAGAGACCTGCCTAGGGTCTCTGTTTTGGAATTCAGGGTCCCTATTTTTGAGTGTCTAGGTCTCTGTTTTTATGATTGTTGGTAGTTTCATCTTCCACTTTATAATACCACATCGCATAAAACGTGCCAGAGCAACGTATAGCGTAACTGTAGCATAACTGTATTGACAGAAAAATTACAGTACAATGTTATCAGTAGCATAGAGATGGGCAGTGCAGATAGTGCAACGCACTGGGGCCAAAGGCTAGAGACCAATGACCCTAAAATAATAATTAAAAGTAATTTCTAACTAAATATTTTTGAAGAAAAATGGCCAGCGGGGCCCCTCAATAATATCTAGGGTCTTGGAGGAGTATTTGTTGTTACTGTGTCACACTCCTTTCAAATGTTTACCGTAATTTTACGAGCCACCAATTTTCTTGAAGGTTAGAGCTAGCTGCTGAGACCACACAGGCCCCTCTTGAAATAGTTACGAAGGTTCAAATTATCGTTATCCATGGTGCCTTACTCTACATGTTGCAATTTGTACAGGAGTAGGCCTATAGCAGAATCAAGTGAAACCGAGTAATATGGGGCTCTGTATACTCCATTTCCGGTCTACAGAAATTGCAGTATAAGTAGGCTTACTTGCAAGTGTAATTAATTACAAATTGAACATGATTTTCTGATTTTTTTTTAGGTCTCTGTTTTTAAGGTCTCTGTTTTAGTATAGCTTGGTCTCTGTTTTTGAGAATCGATTACGAAAACAGAAACCGCGACATTCGAAAACAGATACCCGGTATTCGAAAACAGACGCAAGATGGTCCCTGTTTCCGAGTTTGTCTCCGGTCTCGGGTCTCTGTTTTCGAGGCCTCTGTTTTCGAGAAACCCCCTCATACACCTACATTAAAAAGTTGATGGCACAAAAAAAAAAAGGTTCTCAAAAACTGAGAGGGTGTCTCAAAATGCATTCAAAAATTTTCTTCCGGCCTTGCAGGCCCTCATTTACAAGCATTAAATGTAACCTTCGTATAATAATTTTCCTATTGTTTCCGTTTCCGTTCCTTGGCACGTACTGGCCAAGGACATTTATTTCATCTTTTATGTAAGGCCTTCGGCCCAAATAAAATATAATTGCTATTTACAGAGGGATTGATCACTTCTACGTTTAAATGAGTGATAAAGAAACAACTTATTGTATTGATATCAGTGGACATTAATTGAGTAAACTTAACTTTGGATGGATTAACAATAAAGTACTATATTGTGTACGATGCACGCAGCTCTACTAATTGCTTGTTATCACGTTTTATATGTTTACTATTTATGAATGTTTTTTTTTATTGTCCTTTTAAGTATTGGTATTTTAATGTGATTGTTTGCTTGTTGGTATAACGCAATTTAGTTCATTCTACAATATTATATTTGGCAATCATATTTTTTAAACCTTTATTATTTCTATTTGCATGTTTGTTGTGAAATTATTTTCAATAATATATAATATATATGTGAATGAATGAACCGAACGAACGAAAAATTGGTTTTTATTACAATAATTTTAGTGATCTTTATATTTACTCTTATTTACTTCTAGAGAAAACGAAGTGATTAATGGGTCTTTAGGAACGCAAGGTCCCACGGTCGATGTTCTGGAAGATGTAAATGTTCTTTGGCCATATGTTGTTGTTTGAGAAGACGAGTTGGCAAGTAGCGAGTGAGATGACCAGTAAGGAAATAAGGTATACTCAGAACAAGTGCTTTTATTAAACGTAAGTAGAAGTATTTTAAAGATAATGCGCAGTTTGATGGGAAGCCAGTGAAGATTGTGAAGTACAAGGGTAATATGGGAATATTTTGGAGTTGAAGAGCACATACGGGCAGTATGATTTTGAATCATTTGAAGGCATTTGATAGAAGAAGCTGGAAGATTGAACAAAAGAGAATTACAATAATCAAGCCTGAACATTTCCGATTAAGGTATCTACATATTCGGCAAATGTTGCGGATGTTAAAATTGGCAGTCTTGCATACAGAGCTAATATTTTCTTTGAAAGTTAAGTGCTAATCAGAGACAACACCAAGATTTTGAACAGTAGAAGATTTAGTTACTGTGGAGCCAATTTTTAAAGAAGGAAATTCAGGTTTTGGGACAAGAAACTTTGAGAAGAAAACAGTGAATTCAGTCTTGTTAGCATTTAACTTTAACATGTTGCTAGTCATCCAAGTTTGGATTTCCCAAATTCATTTTTCAAGTTCATAGAAAATATGAGTAAAGTGAGACAAAGAATTGAATGGGATATAAATCTGAATGTCATCAGCATACATTTGAAACTGAATTTCAGAAGAGTGCAAGATGTTGGCAATGGGTGAGGTACACAAAGAATACAAGTGTGGGCTAAGGACGGATCCTTAGGGAACAACGCAGCGTAAAAGCGTAAGGGTTGAATTGGTACCTTGGACACAAACTTGTGAGCGTAAAGATAAAAAGAGGAAAACCAGTTAATAAAAGCAGTGTCAGAAAGACCATAATGAAAAGACAGACGCTGAATTAGAATGTTATGGTCAATCGTATCAAAGGCAGCATATAGCTTCTTGAAGCATAGCTATAGACACAACAAATCATAATCAAAATTGTACTGATGACAGCCACAGAATCTATAGGTTAGGTTATGAAATACATCGTTCTCCCAGAAAATGCCGTGGCAATCGGAAACCAAAACTGGCACCGTAATTCACGAGAGTCGTAATATAATTTCAGACTCTTTAAATGAATGGATCGATGGATGATTAAGGATAAGTAAAAGTCGACCAGTTAGCATAAATGAAAATCTCAACGATTGATCGGATGTGAAACGGAGTGGAGATGAATAGCTTGGTGGTTAAGATGTTTGCCTTCCAATCTTAGGGTATTGTGTTCAATTCCTGTCAGCGTTGCCGAATCTTTTCTCACGACCGAAACAACTCCACTCCCTAAGCCTAATATTGAAATTAAGTTTGTGCAAAGCATCATGTATGTTTATCTTGTGAAAGGGGTTGTCAACTACAATTAGAACAGCAATATTTGCCATTGAAAATCCTTAGTGAATGTTTTGTATGCCTAAATAAATAAATAAAATAAAACAAAATGTGGTTCTATTTCAAACTTTCGATAACGGTTTGTGTTTATCCATGAACAAGGCTGCGCATCTGTTCAAATGCAAATGGCGATAAATGCTTGATAATTGTCGACCTTTTAGATCAAGGCGGCAGAACATGATGTGTGATTTGCTACATTTGATTCTGGAAGGTTAACGATAAAAGGCATCACCTACAAATAATTCAGACACCACAATTTAAGACAAATAAAGATCTCTATTCAATTTGGTTTTATTTACGCATCTCAAAAGCACAAAACATTATTTATAAACCCATTTACACGGTAAAACAATATTAAAACACCATAACCTAAAAATCACTCTTAAATTATTTAAAGTTTTAGTATTTTTATAAAGCAATCAATGTTATAAATATTATAAATCAGTTTACTTTCCAATATATCGATAAGAAAAATACCAAAATTCCACAAGAATAATAAAGTAAATTAAAAAACCCCCATAAAACCATTCAATATAAAATTTATTATTGAACACATTAAAATATTCAAGTCATTTTTAATATAACTCAATCTTAGACTAGATATCTTTAGATAATTTAAGAGAAATACCCAAATGAAGCAATACAAAAACCCAGCATCATTCAATTTAAAATTTAATCTTGAAATATTAAAACTTCACATCAGTTTTACTATTAATCAACTTTAACGCATAGAGACCATGTACTTTTCGCTATATAAGTCTCCAACCATTACCATTACCATAAATCAATTTATTTTTTCAAAATATCAATAATTCAAGAGACATACCACAAATCAACTAGAACAATGAAGAAAATTAAAGAATTATTCAGTTTATTATTAATTCTTCAAGTCTCTACTGCAAATCAATATTAAAATACCGTACTCTATAATACTTTATTAATAATTAGGAGAAACACTACAATCTTAGAAGAGCAATGAAGCAATAAAAAAATAAAATTCAATTTAAATTTTAATCATAAGTTTCAAGTCCTTTGTATTATATATCAATCTTAAAATGTCAATAATTTTGAGAAATAACAAAATCTCTTTAAAAAAAAAACCAAATTAAATGAAACTAAAAATCTTTCAATTTAATAGATTCCATTCTTGAAGTAATCACAATTAAGTTAAGATAAATCAATCTAAAATACCTATATTAGTTAAACTTCAAAAAGTAAAGATAATTCAACCAAAAATACCAAAGTCCCAAAAGAAACATAAACTAAAAAGAAAAAAAAGTCACTATTACAAAGTATACGCCCTTACAGATATAAATTAATCTTAGAATATTATAAATCAGCTGTTCTTCCAAGAATATGAAAATAAAGCATATTAAAAAAAAAAATAAAACTATTAGAAAACAATAATAAAAACAGAGGAGCAAAACATAAAAACAGTAGGTACAAACTAAGATGCAAAGATAAACTCTGAAAGTCCCGGAATTGGAGTTATTTTCAATGGGATTTCTTAAATTTCATGAATTTAAACTTCTTTAAAATAGGCTAACTCGATAGGTTTAAGCCAGAATCCTCACTCTTACTTGCGTGCTGGAAATACTGTAGCGATTTTAGCCTTAACTGGAATATTGTGTAAATCGTGCAGACCTGGTGTTTGACCTCGCGTATCAAACTCGATTTTCACTTCGGGTCGGAATATCAGACAATGCGTGGAGCCACCAAAGTGAAACATACCCAGCTGGTCGCCTTTCTTCACTTTATCATTCTCCCTAACAGTGATTTCGTTGGAAGACACTTCTGACATACCGATTGATACAAAACACATCATGCCAATATCAGGGTTGTCAGCTTGAATGTAAATGATTCCTCGAGCAGCTACCTGAGCCAGGTATCCCTGTGATTCGTTGGGTGCTGCAGGGTCGTCCTGGATATTATGGGTTTGCGAGTAATATGAACCATCGACAAGTTCTGTTTTGTAAATGGTACCCGACACAGGACTGTGCCATCGGTGATAACTGGTGGCGCTAAGAAACGCTTGGTAAACGGTCCCACCATAAAATTGCTTTGCCAGACCATCCATGTTCAGCATGAAATCCAAAGAGTATCGTTGTTTCTTTATCCAAAAGAAATCTCTCTGTTTCACGCCTGTAGCTATCTTGAACGGTGCCGACTCACAGGCATTCGCAACGATGTAATCATCGTCTGGAGATTCTACTAGACGAATTCTAGGGCGATACTCTCTTGTGAAGAAGTCATCCCATGACTTAAAACCATAATGTTCTGCCTTCGGATTGCATTTGAACTCTTTCTCAAAGTTTGGCATTGCTAGCATAGCGTCCTCACCAAACCAACCGTTTCGAGGATCTTTACTCAAAACATAGCAAGAATCTGGACTGGACAGAAATATGCCCCAGTAATTGAGAATATTCTTGAACAACCTGTTGACTTTGTCGTTCAAGAAAGCAGCAAATCCAGCAGTCGTGGCCATCGGCCAGTTCAAGATCACATTAATGGGGAAGCCAACCAAACCGGTTTTGTTATATTCGGGAGCAGTTGTCATGATGTGGTCGATTATAACAATCATAAGCTGCCATGACGGAATTTTCACTCCTGAAGTATTTGGAAGTGAATACTGTTGCCAGAACATTTGATGAAAGAACATGTTGATCTCAGGATCAGTGAGAATAGCGTTCATTAAATCTTCAACCGGTTTATGAAGATGGAGGTTTGTAACACTCAAAGTAGCTGTAGATCGAAGTTCGCCCATGGCTTTTGCTTCATCTTCAGCTGGTGGATGACCAGACATTAGCAGCTCTAACTTATCTTTAGATTTAACTTCGACATCTTTGATCAAGTTGGCTAACCATTTGTCAAGTACTTTCTTGTCCGAAGGAAGCCATTGACCAACACGATAAGGCTTGGAACAACTCATGATTGTGGCTTACTGCTCGTTTTTCTGTTAAATGAGGCACTCCCATCTATCCTGTCTACTTTTATAAGCAATCTTGCTTACTTGTACATGCGCAATTTAAGCCTGGAGTGCAATGATACGCCGTTGTTCTGCTAAAAGCTTGATTTGTCTGATATTTTGATAATAGAGATTTGCCCGGGAGTTCACGGAGAAGACAAAGTTTCTATCCTTTTTAATTCCTGTGCTGCTAACTGGAGGGGAACATTTTTTTAAAATATAAAAATAGCGGCTATTTTTATATGCTTCACAGAGAGCAATTCAATAAATTAAGTCTGCGATGCTCAGAAGCAGCACGTCAATCACAAGTTCAGTGAGACATGAAGCCGCCAGTGTTAAAAAGTTGGAGAAATGAAACTAATACATTATCACCCTTAAATCTAAAACACCATTACCCGACGTTATTTAAAGTAACATGAACAATAGTTGAACACAATTGAAATTATATAATATCAAACAAAAACGTGTGCGCCTATAATACAATTGCTTTAGAAATACATTTACAAAAAGATATTCTAGGCACGTAGCCTAGGCAAATTAAAAGGACACGAAGTATGGTTGTAAAAAGACGCAGAGAAGTATGCGCTGGATTGCTTCTGATTGCAATGAAGCACATCTGAATGTAATAAAGGTGTATGTTAAATCATGTTTAAACCATATTTACAGATTTTGATATTGAAGTATTTAAAATTTTTAACCATAACGAACAAACCGTAACCATAGCCAACAATATCGGCATGGGTTCGCGGCCGGCTCGCTCCTATAGTTCTGGTGGTGGAACAAGTCTTCTCGGATAAGGACTAAAAACCGTAGGCCTAGTGTAATGCTCATGTGCACTTTAAAGAACCCAGTACATCTTTCGACATGAGTAGGGGGTTGCCCCGCTGTACTGGTTCACTTGGTCCTTGTTGTGAACAGATGAAAGTGCGCCGGTTTACTGGCTGCAGAAGACATTAAGTGACCCTCAGGAGAGGAGAAAGTTTTTGAAAAATGCAACATTTAGTCCACTGCGTCTTTAATAAATCTTAGAATTGGCGCATTATAAATGTTTGTTATTATTATTATTATTATTATTAATTTTATTATTATTATTATTATTATTATTATTATTATTATTATTATTATTATTTATTATTGTACAATCGGCAGGATTTCTGTGGCATAAAATTCATTTTATAAAATCATCTTATCTTTTAGATTTAATTATTATCATTAATGATCTCTTTGCAATGTACATGAAGCTTTACAACATACGGTAAATTAGGTCTAACATGCCATTGTATGATTGCTTTGTTTAAAATGATCAATTTCCAACCCAAGTGTGTGGTCCGATTTTATTTTGTAGTGTTTTACGACATTCTTTATTAGAAAAAAAGTGCAGCCTACAGTGGTGTATAACACAAAATTTAAACAAAATAATCATATTTACAACACAAGATCAGAAATTGCTTGCCATTTTACAGTTCCCTGTCCTAAAGTTGAAAATTCTTTTCACAGCAATCCAAGACATTTTCTTCTTAATTTATTGTCTCTATTTATTGAAGTTTTCCCATGGATAATAGTTTAGGTACATGTATTGCTGATTGCCATTGTTGTATTTTATTGTTATGAGAGCCTCCATGATAAGCTGCGTTGCAAGAGCTACCTGTTATGAAAAGCATAACACATAAGAGCAATTCTGAAGTCTTCGCGTTTATTTTAATTGAAATACAAGCGATTGAGGGTGGTATTGAATATCATGTAATTATCATGATATAAACTCAATCAAATATTATACTTTTACCGTATTCATCATGTTATAAGTACAAACTAAATACGTTTACAGGCGTTACTGAGATATTATCTGTATCTTATTTTATTCCGGTATAACTTAGCAAAACAGTAGCCAATGGCCAAACAATTTTGCATTACACAATTAACGTAAAAATCATTTAGTTAGTTCGTTCGTCCGTCCGTCCGTGAGTCCATCCCTCCATCTGCCCATTTGTTCAGTTTCAGTTTATTTTCCATAATATTATGATTATAAACAACAAAACACAGAAATATGGAAGGATGACAAAAAAAAAGGGGGAAAAAAGAAAAGAAAGCTCGTCAACGTTAAGCCTCGTACAATAAATAAGATGATTTAAACATTTTGAAAACATAATCTAAAGTACAGGACAAGACATAAGATTGACAGAAACATGTTGGCATATTATAGTACAGTATAATATAATTATACTATAATATAAAACAAATGCAAATTTTTATGTAGGCCTAGGATATTTGCTTCAGAGTTCTTAATGGTATGTTGAAAGTAATTTATTATTATACACGAGAAATATTATTATCATCAATTATAACAATTGTAAGGTCATTGTAAATACGGTTTCTATATCTATTCTTAAATATCATGTAATTGGTTTTATTAAAATTATAACTTGTTTAACTTAAAACAGGCTGAAGTAATTGAAAGATCGAACTTCACATTATCAACAAGATTGTTTAAGTCAGTTGTCTGAAATTAATAGGTTAGTGTTATCTGCGTATAAAATAAGAGTTATTTACAGATGATCGGTCGTGACGGAGAGTAACAAATAACGAGAAACGACTTGTCGCTAAACTTCAACTCCTTTATTTCCTTCTGCACTCAACAAACGTTAGTCAGCGACAGCACAATCATACAGAGAGTGAGTGATTGTGTGCGTTGCTACAAAGCAAATAAATATCAAACAGTAATTCAACCTTATATATGTACCAGTGTGTACTTGTGTTAACAATTAATAACATCATTATTATCAGTCATCCAAACTGTGGTTTATGAGCATTACAAATAATATAAAGTACTGTGCATAGAATGACTGATATGTTGACAACATTATTGAAGTATGAAATTACCGTTAAATTTTGCCTTCTCCGTATAACAATTATGACCAATCAGTAAGTTACAATAATTCTAGGCTCCTAAAACCTGAAACCCAAACACAGTAGTGCATACAATCGATAACACAAATGATCATCAACAATACATGATCGGAAAGCATAAACAACGAGCGCATCGCGCGTATAGCGTCTAAACCTTTAGTACGCTCAATAACAACTGAACTACGTCAGCCTCCTAATGCTGCTAACAATAGCATAATATTAATTACATAGCCATCTCAATGACATGCACAAGGTATTTTAAAATAAAATAATGAGCTTACAACAATGCCTACTCCTAGAACATTAACACTATGATAGATCCTCAAACATTATGAAATATAATCAATAAGATGACGTAGGCCTAGGCCTATTTTCATTGATATTTCATTATTCTTAGGTTCGTCGCCTAGACCTGACCTAGTTTAGGTGTTCTCAAGCCTATAATCGAACTTGAGATGAACCAACTGTAATCATTTGGTTAACAATCCTACTCAATAACAATTACATACCCAGAAAAACCCAGCATGCAATTTGACATTCTCTCATCATATTATGAAAGAAAACTATATTCCCCCCCCCCCCTATTTTCTAGTCCTACTACGAGAGAAACCTTCTTCCATACATTCCACACACATGCTTCGGTCTGTGACCTTTATTTTACCTTTTCAAACATAGAGGGCGCAACCTCTAAAAACCGCACGAATCGACCACAACAACAGATACATAAGCCTAATCGTTTATGTAAAGAATAAAGAGTAATGGCCTAAAATTGACCCTTGTGGGACACCACAACGGATGTTTAAAAAGATGATTTATTGTTGTGAAAATTAACATATTGCATTCTATTTGTAAGATAAATTCTAAACCACTCAAAGTCAAAACCAGGAATACCATAATGATGCAATTTAGAAAAGAGAATGTTGTGAATTATGGTATCAAAAGTATTCGATAGTTCCAGAAATATCCCAATCAGAAATTATTTTACCATACGCTTGAAAAACAGCCATTTCAGACATATTTGGCCGAAATCCAAATTGATTTTTATGCAATAAATTAAATCGAAAAAGATAATTATAGAGTCTTTTGTGTAATATGCGTTTTAAGATCTTTGAGAAAATAGACATGACCGAAATAGTCCTATAATTACCAAATTTATCGGTCTCACCGATTTTGAAAACTGGAATTACCTTTTCAGCTTTTCCAGAACAACACCGGTAGTTAGTGATAGCTTAAACCATCCATGCTTAAACATATGAACAAGCGGAGGTGCTGTTAAGTCGCCAACTAATTTCACAATATCAGGTTTGATATTGTTAAAACTACTGCCAACACTTGATTTAAAATTTCTGCAGATTGAGATTTTATCTTTATTAGTTAGCAAGAAAAAGCGAGACTTTAAGGTAGATTTTATGCTACATATCAAAAATTTAAAATAAAAAACCGATCAAGTAATTTTACGCGAGTATTCAGAGCCAATGTAAACAAAATATTTATTAAACTATTAACAATTAGCCTATTTGTGAATCCGAAATATACCTGTCATTTATTTAAAAAAAATTGGGATTTGTTTTGGCCTGTTTTGTCCTAGCATACTATTAAAAACATTCTAAGTTTGTTTTAAATTATATTTTGTTTGCTCGAGCTTTTCCGCATAATACTGTCGTTTAGAAATTTGATTCAAGCAGTAAGTATATTTCATAATTAGCTTTGTTTGATTCAGTAGGGTTGCTTACATATTTTTTGTGCAACTTTTCTTTCAGATGTATAGTTTTAGAGCGTTTAGAAATGATGGGAATTGTACATTGAAGACCTCTGGGAATTTATGAATGAATACATTATATGCATGGTCAGAAGAATCAAGATTAGTAATACAAATCCAATCGAAAGAGCTTAAATTGTTTATAAAAATTTGAACTCTAATTTGATTAAATACACCAGTAGAAATCGTGTTCGGGGTATTATTCCTAATGGGAATGGATTTGATATTTTGGTAAACAGGATAACGGTCTGAAACACCTTCGATAACAACACCCGATTTAAAGTCAGGCTCCGGAGGAAAAAAAAATTTGATATGTTGTAGAACTGATTTTTCTAAGACAGAAAAAAGTTGTTTGACGACAAACTGAGCAACGGTGAATGAGATGCGGATTTTTGAATATTT